ATGAGAACAAGAGAGTCCATGTCACAGTCAGCAAATCAATTATTCAATGGCATTTCAAAATATCAGTGGATGCCCGTGGTTGCCATAGACACATACTGCGGCTGACTTACAGATTTGTCACTTTTTCTGTGATATTTTCACTCCAAGTAGGACAAACAGAGAAAATAAATACATCATCTGAAACGAGGACGTCACTTATAAAAGATTCACTCCCACTTAATGTGATTCCTGCTTGAGTGACCCAACAAAAATTGGATTTTAATGATGCCTATTAGTTTTAAAGGAACCGGACAAGTTTATGATGATGTGGGGATATTTTTTAAGTTCCTAATTGGTGTCACCAAAAATTATAATGTTGACATAAGACAGATCTGTTTGTTGACTTCGAGCTTACGCAACACAGTCTAAGATAAGTTAACTTATGAGGGAGAAAAAAGTTCTCATTATCAAAGTTTTTATTATAAAATCACTGCCAAAAACATGACATAACTCTCTCCATCACAGCCAACTGGAACGAATGTTATTAATGTTCAAGTTCCCCCACACACACAGAGAAATGCAAACTTTAAAGAGTTTAAAAGACTTTGTCCTCAAATGCAAATTGAGGCTGCTCTAGATGCGGCGGTGCAGCTCTGGTGTGGATGTAAAGTGTCAGCACAGGTTGACAGACTGTCACCATGTCTCTGACTACTTGAATGCTCTGATAACAGGCAGGCTCAGCACACAGACAGGAGGCTGCAGCATTACTCTCAGCCTGTTGGAACAAAATAAGAAAACGTGTGAAGTCCTTTGGAAAAGTAAATCACACATACAGTAAATAAAAACCCCGTCTATCTGTTTTCAGGCTCAACTATTTCAATTTATATTCATGGTGACCCAGTGGTTTGCTCAATTATGCAGTTATTTGGCTCGTAGAAAGAGAAGAAATTTATCCACTCTGACTCCATGGGGAAAATGTTACAGTTTATTACTAAACAGACTGAGTTACAGTGGGTTGGGTTGGGATTCCCTTTATATTAAAAGCTACACAGAGCTGGGTTTTATGGAAGAGTGACCAGAAAGAGGCCAATGTTTAAAGAAATTCTGTTCATGTCAGTGTTTTAAATTAGGATCATTTTATGCCGAGTCGCTTACGTCAAATCTTTAAAATATTGTCATGCGTGATCACGAGGTCATGATCAGAGTATGTGTTGTGAATCACTCTTATTTACCATTGTAACAAATTATAGGTCAGTAACTGTACAATTAACTGAGTTGTAGTCATTTTTGTGTTGCCTAGCGCAAATACAGCTTTGGTCTCTTTAAGTGAAATGATCTATTAAAGAACATCATAGAGCAAAAAGTCTCCGTTTGTTGAAACTTTAAATTAACTCATTAAAATAAGACTCACACAACACGATTCTACCAAGAAACCAGGATATTTAGAAATGGCTCAGTTAATCTTTAACATTAAACTGTCTTTTAAAAACTGGTTTTATTGTCCTTTGTGCATCTTCTTGAAATATTTACAGTAACTAAAGCTGTGGGATGTATGTTAGGCAGTTTAACATTTTCCTACAAAATGCTGAATCACACACAAATCACATAAATGAAGTGTTTAAACTGTTACAAAGTGTTTGTCTTTGGACAGATCCACTTATCGTTTATCATGTGGAGCAGATTAGCTCATCCCATCCCACAGAAGAAACCACAGTCATGATCACAAATCTTACTTATTACCCAAAGTGGAGGGCATAAAATACCTCATTAATCCCTGAACAGATTTTAATGAAATAACAGGAAGAAATGAGTGGATGAACGACAACCGATGAGCTATCGGAGACAGCCTGACTCAAGATGGCTGCTACAGCAAGGAGGTCTTATCAAACAGAAAGGGAACATCGGTTTTACACATACTGAGCTGAGGTTTGATGTGGTAGTAGCTGAGAGTCATCCACAACACATATGGCGTGATAATACACAGAGCTTTTAAAAGGTTTGATCAAATTTGTTATATCTTTTCTCAACATAAGATGCTCGTAGTTTAAAATTTTGCAATCTTTAAAGAAACACTGGTCCTTTAAATTTTAGTGCTAGTTCTGACACTGAAGCAGCTGTTTGTTCAGCATATCTTCATTAGTGTTTTTATTTGTTCTTTTTTTTTTTAAGGTTTGGCAGATGTTTGACTTTCCAGCAAAAAAGGACAAATTATCCTCATGAGGAACTGGTTTACGTCTTGTTTTTACTCTGTAATTCAAAACCAGTGATCAAATTACCTTTATATATTATTTGATGATTTTCTATTGTGCAGATTTTTCTTGAAATTAAAAATAATAAATTATTGTGAAGAGTCACTTTAGTTAGTCAAGTTACTAGTAATTGGTTCCCTCTCCCTTCTGGAGGAGATAACAGTGCTAACCACCCAGAGGTAACCAGCAGCAGAACAAACAGCTCACACTGGCCCCTTGTGTCTGTTTGAGGAATAAACCAGCTCACATTAGAGGCTCTGAGGTTGCTGGACTATTTTCTGGTCTGAACCGCTGTGACTTCACGTGTTTGTGTGAGGTCAAATTCCTCGTAAGTTCAAAGAAATTCTGTGTTTTCTTCTGAAAGGAGGCCTGAGGGTGGGTCTATCCTGTGATGGTCATTCCTGAGCATTGCGCTGCCTCCCTGCAGGCCGATAAGCTGCACCCCGTGCCCGGCTGCAGCAGCATGTGACCGGCTTGTGATCCTGGATCCTACGCAGACAGGACTCTGAATGTGCTGCAGGTCCTGAGAAGGAAACGTTTCTTCTGTTTGGTCTCTGCTCTTCAGTCATGTACCACATGCTGGAAGTGATGCAGATAATTAAATAATACTGATAAAAATAAAACTTCATGCTGTAGTTTATTTAATGTCTTAAAACTTTAAAATTAGGTTATGCTTATAGTATTTTTACACAAGTTTGAGTAAAAACCTTTTAAAAATAGAGCTCAACACATTTAATCCCTCCTGCTGCCCTTGGGTCAAAATGACCCTTAAGGCCTCAGATTTTAAAATGGGGCTTAGGTCGTTTTGACCTGAGGGAAGCGGGAGGGTTAAAATAATGCTGGAATCAGTAATAAGAATAATTAAAGACCTTGCATTAAAGAATGCATCCAGCCTGCTGCCTTTTCAGACTGAGATGATCTTATGATGACAGGATGGAGAGAGAGTTGTCGACTGGAGAAAATGTCTGAAACTAAAATATAATGAATTAAATTTATAAAAGGGCTGATAAAATTAAAATAACTTAAATGTCACCAGAACATTTCAATCTTTCAGCTTTTTATTTTGTTATTTCATGATTATTAGATTGATGTGTGTGTGTGTGTGCG